ACTAGGGGTTTGTGGACCCCTAGTCACCTGTGGGGGACATTTTTTTTAGGGCCCCCACCCGCCGCTCAGGGGTGGGGGCCAGGGAGAGGACAATAGGTCCCCCCATTGGTATTTGGGGCCCCCACCCGCCGCTCAGGGGTGAGGGCCAGGGGGGAGGACATTATTAGTATTTAGGGCCACCACTCATTGCTCAGGGTTGGTGGCCAGGGGGGAGGACCTTAGGTCCCCCACCTTATTAGTATTTAGGGCCCCCATCTGCCGCTCAGGGGTGGGGGCCAGTGGGGAGGACATGAGGTTCCCCCCCTTATTAGTAATTAGGGCCCCCACCCACTGCTCAGGGGTGGGGGCCAGGGGGGACGACATTAGGTCCCCCCGTTATTCCAATTTATTCTACCCGCCGCTATAAATGATCTTGAAGACCGCGTTGAAAGTCATGTTTCAGTGTTTGCAGATGACACAAAACTTTGTAAAACAATACAATGTGAGCAAGATATTACTTTGATGCAGAGGGATTTAGATAGACTGGGGGACTGGGCACTCAAACGGCAGATGAAATTTAATGTTGAAAAATGCAAAGTTATGCACTTCGGCGTAAAGAATACACAAGCAACGTATACCCTTAATGGAAGCGAATTAGGGATAACAACACATGAAAAGGACTTGGGAATAGTTATAGACAACAAACTATGCAACAATGTGCAATGTCAATCAGCAGTGGCCAAGGCCAGTAAGGTATTGTCATACATGAAAAAGGGCATTCATTCTCGGGACAAGAATATCATTTTGCCTCTTTATAAATCACTGGTAAGACCCCATATTGAATATGCTGTGCAATTTTGGGCACCTATTCTACAGAAGGATATTATGGCACTAGAAAAAGTGCAGAGGCGGGCTACAAAATTAATAAAAGGAATGGAGCATATCAGCTATGAAGAAAGGCTAACAAATTTAAACCTATTTAGTTTAGAAAAACGTCGCCTGAGAGGGGATATGATAAGATTATACAAATATATTCAGGGCCAATACAAACCATTGTGTGGAAATCTATTCACAAACCGGACTTTACATAGGACACGAGGCCATGCGTTTAGACTGGAAGAAAGAAGATTTCGTCTAAGGCAAAGGAAAGGTTTTTTTACTGTAAGAACAATCAGGATGTGGAATTCTCTGCCTGAAGAAGTGGTTTTATCAGAGTCCATACAGATGTTCAAACGTCTACTAGATGCATACTTGCAAGAACAGAATATTCAAGGATATAATCTTTCAATGTAGGGTAATAACTGCTTGATCCAAGGATAAATCTGACTGCCATTCTGGGGTCAAGAAGGATTTTTTTTCCTAGCTTGTTGCAAAATTGTGCTTCAAACTGTTTTTTTTTGCCTTCTTTTGGATCAACAGCAAAAAACAAATGTGGGGTAGGCTGAACTTGATGGACGCAAGTCTCTTTTCAGCTATGTAACTATGTAACTATCTCTTTTGCTTTCAGCACCTAGATTACCATCTGCTGTGAAAGACTACGACCAGCAAGTCCCATAAGTGGGGATTATACCACTGTATGCAATATCCACTAGAGCTGGTCATAGCTCTTGTTCATGTGAGTGCAATATTTTTGTCTCTTAAGTGTTGTCCGTTTAGCCCAGACATATTGCACAATCAGGTCGCTCTGTCTTTTCTTTTTCCACATACGGAGACTGAGAAGACCCAGACCCTTCACACCCCTCAAGTATAAAGAACCAAGATACCAAAGCTGGATTTACCTATTTATTTATTTTACCTAGAGACTATTCTAATTTTGTATATCGTATGTCACTGGGAATATATTTTAGTGCCTCTTTCTGTGGCGCAGCCCTTCTCCATTTGTTTTCTTTTCTGTTATTCTGGAGTCGTTGCTGCCTTTTTTATGTGGCGCTGACCCTTTCTGCTTTTTATCTGTACTCCCCCTGCTGTCTGAAAATAAAATAAAACATGTTAAATCAGTGTAAAAATAAATAATATATACTTAGATCATATATATATATTTATTATATATATGATCTAAGTATAAATACACACATATACACACATACACAGTCTAAGTGTATTTTAATTTTAATATATACATAATTATATATATATATATATATATATATATATATATATAAATATGAAAATACACGTACAATGATATTGATTAAATATATATATCGTTTTCATTATATATATATATATATATATATATATATATATATATAATAAAAATAAATAAATATGTAAATATGTAAAAAAAATATATACATGTGTAATTTCGTTCTAAAATGACACAAAAAGGTAAGGATAGTATTAGACTAATGACAGTTGCAGAAGAGGAATCAGTCAGGAGCTATTAACAGTTTAACTGATACGCTTTTATGAAGAAGTGGGTTTTTAACGATTTTTTGAAGGAATGGAGACTGGGTGAGCATCTAACGGAGCAGGGAAGCAAGTTTCACAGGAACGGTGCAGCCCTCGAGAAATCTTGAAGGCGAGCATCAGAGGTGAGAGTACGGACAGAAGATAGACGTAAGTCTTCAGCAGATCGTAAGGGCCTAGACGGGATATACTTGTGTATAAGGGAGGATAGATAGGTGGGAGCAGAATTATGTAGCGATTTGAAAGCAAGAACCAGAATTTTAAATTGAGCTCTATATTTTATAGGAAGCCAGTGTAGGGATTGACAGAAGGGTGAGGCATGGGAGGTGCGGGCGGACAGGAAGATGAGCCTTGCAGCCGCATTCATTATGGACTGTAACGGCGCTAGTTGGGAGCACGTAAGACCACTGAGAAGTGGATTACAGTAGTCAAGGCGAGAAAGGACAGTGGAATGGACCAACACCTTAGTCGCAACTGGCGTTAAGTAGGGGCAGATGCGCGCAATGTTTTTTAGATGGAAATGACAGGATTTGGCGATAGATTGAATATGAGGCTTGAAGGAGAGGTCGGAGTCAAAGAGAACACCTAGGCAGCGAGCCTGCGTGGTGGAGCTGATGGTCACCGTTGACTTGGAGGGAGACAGACACAGGAGTAACAACACTTGAGGGAGTAAAGACCAGAATTTCAGTTTTGGTCAAGTTTAGATTAAGGAAGTGGGCAGCCATCCAGTTAGAAACAACAGAGAGGCAGTCAGAGACACTAGTCAAGAGGGACGGGGAGAGATCAGGAGAGGACAGGTAGATTTGCGTGTCATCTGCATAGAAATGATATTGGAAGCCAAAGGAGCTAATGAGTTTACCAAGGGAGGCAGTATAGATGGAGAAGAGTAGGGGACCAAGGACTGAACCCTGGGGGACACCAACAGAAAGGAAACACTGAAAGAGCGCTGGGAGAGGTTTTAGGAGCACCAGGAGAGAGCAGTATCTTGTAGACCGATATTGCGGAGGATGAAAAGAAGCTGTTGATGATTAACAGTGTCAAAAGCCACAGACAGGTCAAGGAGAATTAGGATAGAGTAGTGACGACGAGATTTTGCAGCGAGTAGATCATTGGATACTTTGGTCAGTGCCGTTTCCACAGAGTGCTTAGTGCGGAAACCAGACTGAAGCGGGTCTAGCAGACAGTTGGACTCGAGGAAGTCTGTCAATCTCGCATACACAATTTTTTCAAGGATCTTGGATGCAAAAGGCAGTAGCGAGATAGGACGATAGTTGGATGGGGAGTTAGGGTCAAGATTGGGCTTCTTTAGAATTGAGGTTACAGTTGCATGTTTGAAGGGCAATGGTAATATACCAGAGGAGAGAGAGAGATTGAGGATTTTAGTGAGAGGTGGAGAAAGAGAAGAAGACAGAATATGGATGAGATGCGAGGGAATTGGATCTAGGGAGCAGGTGGTAGGGCGGGAGGACTGGAGCAGAGCAGAAACTTCTTCCAATGTAGTGGGTGCGAATGAACATAGAACAGCAGAGAGAGTGAAGTTAGGGGAAGTATTGTAAGAGGAAGAAGAAAGATGAGAGATCTCTTCTCTGATTGTAGAGATCTTGTCAGTGAAGTGAGTTGCAAAGTCTGAGGCGGTCAAGTTAGAAGGTGGAGGAGGAACAGCAGGGCAAAGAACAGAGTTAAATGTGTGAAATAGTCGTTTGGGTTCGCGGGAGAGTGTGGTTATGAGGGTATTGAAGTAATTAACTTTTGCAGAGGAAAGAGCCAAGCTGTAAAAAATAATTTAAAAAAATTATATTTGCATATATACACACACATATATATGTATATATAAATATATATATATATATATATATATATATATACACACACATATAAATATAATAATTCTACGTATATATTTATATAATAATTTTACATAATTAGGTCATTTTATTAATTACAATTGCCTGACAACCAAGGCCAAAAGTTCAGGGAATTGTATTTGCTAGCACTATATTTAACCCTGTAACTTTCCAAGACACCATAAAACCTGTACATGGGGGGTACTGTTTCACTCGGAAACTTCGCTGAACACAAATATTAGTGTTTAGAAAGAGTAAAATGTTTTAAAATGACATATTTTGACATTTTTTGCACACACACAAATGTCACTTACACTGACGATATAATTGTTGTGATACGTTTTACTGTATTGAAACACTAATATTTGTGTTCAGCAAAGTCTCCCAAGTATAGCAGTACCCCTCATGTACAGGTTTTATGATGTTTTCAAAAGTTACAGAGTCAAATATAAGGCTTGCATTTCAGTTTTTTTACCTTAAAATTTGCCAGGTTGGTTATGTTGCCTTTGAGATCGTACGGTAGCCCAGGAATGAAAATCACCCGCATGATGGCATACCATTTGCAATAGTAGACAACCCACGGTATTGCAAATGGGGTATGTTCAGTCTTTTTTAGTAGCCACTTAGTCACAAACACATAGTTAGGATAGCCTTATGCCTATCTCAAGCATGCTTAAACTCCTTTATTGTGTTAACCTCTACCACTTCAGCTGGAAAGCTATTCCATGCATCCACTACCCTCTCAGTAAAGTAATACTTCCTGACATTATTTTTAAACCTTTGTCCCTCTAATTTAAGACTATGTCCTCTTGTTGTGGTAGTTTTTCTTCTTTTAAATATAGTTTCCTCCTTTACTGTGTTGATTCCCTTTATGTATTTAAATGTTTCTATCATATCCCCCTGTCTCGTCTTTCCTCCAAGCTTTACATGTTAAGATCCTTTAACCTTTCCTGGTAGGTTTTATCCCGCAATCCATGAACCAGTTTAGTAGCCCTTCTCTGAACCCTCTCTAAGGTATCAATATCCTTCTGAAGATACGGTCTCCAGTACTGTGTACAATACTCCAAGTGAGGTCTCACCAGTGTTCTGTACAATGGCATGAGCACTTCCCTCTTTCTACTGCTAATACCTCTCCCTATACAACCAAGCATTCTGCTAGCATTTCCTGCTGCTCTATTACATTGCCTGCCTACCTTTAAGTCATCAGAAATAATCACCCCTAAATCCCTTTCCTCAGATGTTGAGGTTAGGACTCTATCAAATATTCTGTACTCTGCCCTTGGGTTTTTATGTCCAAGATGCATTATTTTGCACTTATTCACATTAAATGTCAGTTGCCACAACCATTTTTCTATTTTACCTAAATCATTTGCCATTTGGTTTATCCCTTATGGAACATCAATCCTGTTACATATCTTAGTATCATCAGCAAAAAGACATACCTTACCATCAAGACCTTCTGCAATATCACTAATAAAAATATTAAAGAGAATGGGTCCAAGTACTGATCCCCGAGGTACCCCACTGGTGACAAGCCCAAGCTTCGAATATACTCCATTGACTACAACCGTTTGTTGCCTGTCACTCAGCCACTCATTCAACAATATTGGAATCCAAACTTAAAAATTGCAGTTTATTGATAAGCCTTCTATGTGCAACAGTGCCAAAAGCCTTACTGAAATCTAGGTAAGCAATGTCTACTGCAGCACCCTGATCTATAATTTTAGTTACTCAATCAAAAAAATCGGTAAGATTAGTTTGGCATGATCTCCCTGAAGTAAACCCATGTTGTCTCTGATCTTGAAATCCATGTGTTTTTAGATGTTCAACAATCCTATCCTTTAACATGGTTTCCATCACTTTCTCTACTACTGAAGTAAGGCTTACTGGCCTATAGTTGCCCGACTCCTCCCTATCAACCTTTCTTGTGAATGGGTACAACATTCGCTAACTTTCAATCTTCTGAGACTACTCCTGTTAACAATGATTGGTTAAATAAATCTGTTAATGGTTTTGCTAGTACACCACTAAGCTCTTTTATTAGCTTTGGGTGTATTCCATAAGGTCCCATTGACTTATTTGTCTTTACTTTTGACAGTTGAAATAGAACCTCTTCCTCTGTAAACTCATGTGTAATAAATGACTCAGTTATCTTTTTTTTTTTAACTGAGGTCCCTTTCCTTCATTTTCATCTGTAAATACCGAACAAAAATATTAATTGAGGCAGTCAGCTAGACCTTTATCCTCTTCTACATACCTTCCTTCTTTTATTTTTAATCTAACTAATCCTTGTTTTACTTTTCTTTTCTCATTTATGTATCTAAAAAAAGTTTTGTCCCCCTTTTCTACTGACTGTGCTATTTTCTCTTCTGTATGTGATTTGGAAGCTCTTATAACTTGCTTAGCCTCTTTCTGCCTATTCTTATAGATCATTCTGTCCTTCTCACTCTGTTTTTTTTTTATAATTACTTAATGCTAACTTTTAGTTTTTTACTATTTTGGCCACATCTCCGGAGTACCACAGTGGTTTCTTGAATTTTTTGCTTTTATTGACAAGCCTAATGCAATTTTCTGTTGCCTTCAGTAGTGCAACTTTTAAATAATCCCATTTCTCTTGGACTCCATTTAAATTGCTCCAGTCTGATAATGACTCCTCTACACATATTCTAATTTTAGAAAAGTCTGTTTTTCTAGTCTAAAACTTTTGTTTTTGTGTGGTGTGACTCAGTCACTGTTTTTATATTAAACCACACTGACTGATGATCACTGGATCTTAAACTTTCACTTACAGTAATATCTGATACCAAATCTCCATTTGTTAACACTAAATCTAGTATGGCCTCTTTACGAGTTGGCTCCTCAATGAATTGTTTTAGAGACAATCCCAGTAGGGAGTTTAGAATATGTGTAATCCTGGCACAAGCCGCTATTTTTGTTTTCCAATTCACATCAGGAAGATTAAAGTCACCCATGATGATAACTTCCCCCTTCATTGTCATTTTAGCTATTTCCTCAACTAGTAGATTATCTAACTCTACAAGAGTTACTGTGTGATTACCAAATTCTAATTTAACCCAAACGGACTATGTTCGCCTCACTAACTTTTATTAGGCTAGATTTTATGCTATCCTTCACATACAGGGCCACCCCTCCCCATTTCTTGCCTTCTCTGTCGTTTCTATATAAAGAGTACCCTGGTATTGCTATGTCCCAGTAATTTTTCTCAAAATGCCATGTCTCAGTAACAGTAAATCTACACTATCAGTTGCCATTATTGCCACAAGTTAATGGATCTTATTCCCTAAACTGCGAGCATTGGTAGACATGACTCTAAGCTTATAATTTTTTAACACACTTGCTACTGGCACCTTCTGTCCTTGTTTTGGGGAACAATTGGATTGATGTTTTATCACCCTTTTGCCCCCCCTCTTAGTTTGAATACATCCTAGCAAAACCTCTGAACTGCTCACTGAGAACATTTGATCCCTTTTGAGAAAATTTTTAAAAATCTTATTTTCTACAACTTTTTTATATTTTATTCATATTAAATCATGTTCCATACCTAAATATTTGATGTTAAATGAAAGCCCTGTTTCCCTTGAATAAAATGATATATAATAAGTGTGGGTGTATTTAATATGAAAGAGGTAAATTACGGTTGGACAGACATTTAGCGCAAATGCCAGGTTTTGTTTATGTTTTGTTTTGATCACAACTTGTACATTTGGCTGCGGTCTTAAGGGGTTAAAAAAACTATAACTCCCCTTCTGTCTTTTATTTAATTTCTGGCACAATTGAGATCCCTTTCAGTAAAACTATCATTGTTGCTGGAATCTACCACCCACCTAGCTCTCCTGTGCTCTCCCTTTCTGACATAGCCCAACTACTTAGTGAAACTGTAGCTCAAAACCAAAAAAGTGAACTGTTGCTTTTTGGAGATTTTAATATTGATTGGCTGAATCCTAAAAATAATAAATCATTTACATTGTTTAAGACTTTGCAGCTAACACAATTAATTTCCTCCCCAACTCGAATTAATATTACCTTGCTAGATTGGATTCTCTCCAGTTATCCTGACAGAATCCAGGAGGCGGGCGTTTTCCCTAACAGTTTCAGTGACCACTGTCTAATGTGCTGCATACGCAAAATAAATGCCACTAAATCACCAGGTCTTCCAAATAATGTAATCTTGAATTCTTTTTAAACAATCTCAATAACATACCATGGCATAGATTGAGTCTAATACCAGATCTAGACTCTGCAATTGCATTTTTTTAGTCCGAGCTCTTGCGTGTTTGGAATTTGCATGCTCTTCTGCGTAAAGTGCGAATAAAAGGGATACACCATCCCTTCATAAGACCCATCTTCCTGCAAAATAATCTAAATTTAAATATCAATATTTTTCATTTGAATCTGTATCACAAGCAAATGGATAGTATTAGTTGTCATGAGTCTCATTTGTGGCTGTGCGGAAACTATAATGCAATAATTAATACCCACTAAGTTTTTTCACATAAAAAAAATACTTTTATGCTGATAAAATGGGAAAACCAATATATCAATTAGGCAGTTTTGTCACAAGTTATCAAACTGACCTCTACATGTTATTTAAATAAGCACAATTAAATAAAGCTGTTTGTATTTTCTGTTTATTCTGCTGCACCAGTTTTTATATTAATGTATTCATTTTAATAATATTAAATCTAAGTTGGTTAAATTGATGAAAAACAGTCTTGATCCACGTGAAGTTATAATAATACATTTGAACAAAAGGAAGATTAACAAAATATAGAGATTGATTCATTGGAAATTTACATAAAAACAATAACTCCCCGCTCCCCCCAAAAATTATATATTGGAAAATCACTATAAATGTTTGACATTATTATTTAACAGAGACGCATAGGTGGTAGGGCAGTACTGTTTGAACAGGTGCTCCACTAATGTATTACTTCCAGTAACCACAGTTTGTTCATTTTTTTTGTTCATAAAATTCCACAGATGTAGAGAATAAGAATCATTAAAGGTTGGTAACTGATTCCAAACTTCAAAATATCTTCTCCAAGAACTCCATGTAATAGGATAGAAACGCTGAGGGTGTAGGTAGGAGATATCTCCACACATAGCATCAGCTGTATTTTTAAACTTAGGCATCCCACACCACCTCCCCACAACACGTGTGAAGAGTCCTGGATCTTGATATCCCCATTCTTCTCCTCTGTAATTTTTTACAAAGTCTTCCATACATTGTCAAGTGAACTTATGCTGAGGAAAAAGTCCAAAAACACTATTGCTGCAAAAGTCAAAGGTTTCAGCTGCAAGAAAATTCTTATTTGGAAGTGGTCGCATTGAGATGACATCTGCATCCATGTATAATCCGCCATATTTCCACATTGCTGCAACTCTGCAAGCATCTGAGCTCACGTAAATCCAGTACATTTCCTTTTCAGGGTTAACCTACAAATACAAAAAAACAAGTAATTATACCGAAACGATTATGTAATTTAAAAAAAATAAACTTTAACACGTTTGTAAAATGTTTTTAACAAACATTTATTTGGAAAATTACATCTTAAACATTAATCAAAACTGATAATGCATTCTACTTTCCACATTGTAAAAAAACAAAAACCTAAGGATCTTGAATTGTGTTTAATCCTAATGTCTATGTCATTATCTAAACAAATATCTTAGGACCTCATTTTGCATATAGAACTGGGCGGCCCATTATGTATATGTTTAAGGCAGGTGTGATAGCTCAATGGGCTAATGCCTCATCAGTAGAATCTGTTCAACTCTTAGGGGTCACAGGTTCATTTCCTAGCGGGGTTGATTCACCTCTTCATCCTTGTGAGTTAGGTAAAATGAGTAGCATTAAATTGAGTAATAGTAACATCCACTATATGTTGTGCAATAATAATATCCCCAGGATTTACTTGGAAATCAGAGTAATTTGAATATACCTTACCTGGTTAAATACTTTATTATTAATCCACTCACATTGGTGTGTTATATGATAAGTTAATCAATAATTATCTTTAGACCCCTTTTTATCTCACATAACCTTGTGTATGTATAACCTTGTGCAGTGTGTCTGTGTTAAATATATGGACTGCTTTCTTTGTTTTGTCTAGTTCATCTAGCAGAAACCCTAGTCCGAACAGTTTACAACATACTACCCAACATTAGGAAGAGTCAGACAGGGTGGTTCAGTCAGGCAGGTTCTGCTGAAGTGCTGTATGCTTGGTCCTAGTTCCCGCTGCACATTACAAGCACATATCTATTATATGCTCTTGCTGTGCTTCATGAGAAGCACATCTGGGGATACCAGGAATCAAAGTAAGAACATCAGGACAGAAGACTAAAATAGGGACCACCCTATCAAAATTGGGACCACTCCACCAATGTTGGGAGACATGATACAGTGTAGATAGAAAAGAGGTTGACTATTATTTTTCCTGGATAATTAGATGAATCAATGTTAGGCATACATGAAAGCATCCACTAACTTGCCCCACATCCAATATCTCACAGCAGAAAATGTGTGGGAATAGCAAAAGCCCAAAATATAATTTAAAATAATAGGGTGTTTACTGGATTACGTTAGCTATATTTGTCCTCCGGGAGGCATAACCACCTAGCAAAGTCTTTCAGCCAATCAGGTGATCAGGAGAGCCGTGCTGAGCGCGGGAATCCTGATTACCTCAGATTTTTAAAAATGGCATCATTGATGGAGGACTCTTTTTCTGTGTCTGCCACAGATTTAGTGGATGCCTCTCTTAAAGGCAGCCCCATCAATGTCAGAAAGCTCCATAAGAGAGCTTTCCTTGCCAGGGATCTATCCTCTTCATCTTCTGAGGAGGATTTGTTCCCAGTTTTACGTAAAAAGAATAAAGGAAGGCGGCTGGTCTCTTCCGCCATTTCCTCGTCTGAGGAAAACTTCTCTGCGCCTCCTTCCCCTCATACTCGTTTGAGTAAGCATAAATTTAAGGGGACAGGACCCCAAAAAAGGAATAGCGTGTTTCCCTCGTTTGAGCACCAGAAACACCTTCCAGAGAAAAAGGACAAATCTCGTTGGAGGTTAGATAGTCCCTCTCCTTCCTCTTCTAGAGCGTTTGCTCACTCTTCCTCCCAAAGCCGTCCCAGTTCCAGATACGGCTCTCCAGAAATAGACTGGGAATCTGAGGAAGTGGTTCGTTCAGCAGCTTCCACTGAGCGAGGGAAGCTAAGCAATGTTCAGATGGCCAGAGTAAGTCTCCTAGGAAAGACTCTCCCATCAAAATTATTTCACTCCAGATGGGCTATGGAGCACGATTCTGAGGTTAGAGATTTTGCAAAACTAGCCTTCAGATCTCCCTTGGTTAAGGAGGATGACCTTCTTCTCAGGAACCACATCGGTATCCCGGACATTCAGGCTTTAATGGCCCCAGAGGTAGATCCTGCTCTGTTATCCATCACAGGGAGCAGCGCATCCTCTGATCCCACAGACCAGACTTTTCGCAATATACAGTTCAAAATTGCTGATGCTGTGGGCCCACTATTACTGATGCTGGATAAGGCAGAAAAAGAAGGCAATGCTCAGAAACCTTTCGCTTCATCTCTGTTGGCATCTAAGATGGCCCTTTTAAAAGCGTCTGGCAGGGCAGTGCTAATTATTGGCCAATCCTTTAATTACATATCTAACATCCGCAGATCCCACTGGCTCCATGCAGCAGGTCTGTCCGACCTAGCCCCCAAATCGCATGAGTTCCCAAATTTGGAGGATTCGGTCCCTCGTTCATTCAGGAGGTTAAAGGCAGTTACAAGGCAAGGAGATCCTTTTCAGAACTCAAGAAGTCCGTCCCTGGCTACAAAAAGCCCTTTCGGACAGAGGGGCGCCCCAATAGGGCTGCAGGAGCGTCCCGAGAAGCCTCTCACCAGGCCCAGTACCGCCACTACAGTGGAAGACACAAGCTCCCAGGCGGTGGCAGAGGAGCGCATTCCAGAGGCGGTTCAGCTTCCAAAAGAAAACCCATGCATTCAAGTAAGTGTGCCTCCTCATATGCCACTAAATTGGAAGGATATTTCCTCAGACAAATTGGTTCTAAAGATTTTTCAAAGGGGTTTACAACTCTGTTTGCATCCCAAACATCTGCACAAACTCCCAGGTTCTTCTCCCGGACCTGGACAAAGGGAGCTTGGAAAATGGATGCAATGTCTTTCCAATGGACAGATGTTCCAGCCCCTTATGCTTTCCCCCCTCCATCTTTACTGATGAAAGTGCTGGAGAAGATCCGCAGGGACAGGGTGCAGATCTTAGTTCTCGTTTATCCAGTATGGACCTCCAGACCCTGGTATCCCTTGATCCATCAGTTAGTCAAGGGAACCAAGATCCCATTGGGCATGACAGTGGACTGCTTTCAGGGAACCAGCGATCTCCTGCTCAAGCTCCCGCAGCTGATGTGGATCGCAGCCCAAGTAGGCTGTTAACACATCCTCTTTTATCGGATCAGGTCTTGGATATTATTAACTCATCTTTAAGACGTAGAACTAGGGTAAGATATAGAAAGATGATCGAGGAATTCAAAGAATGGGAGGTTTCTTTTCTGTCTAACACACAAGGATCCGATACCGTTCCATTGGCTTTAGAATTTCTTACCCTTAAGTTCCATTCTGGTTTATCTGTCAGTTCAATCAAGACATATGGATCTGCTTTAAACTTCCTGATCCCCAACCTTACTCAGGATGCCCTGTATTTGAGATTACTAAAAGAGTTATCCGTCTGCCGCCCATATACCCCACGCTACACATCTACTTGGGATGTAGATGTCTTATTAAATTTCCTAAAGTCTTTGGATAATGCTAAAATTGATTTAAGATGGACTGCTATTAAGTTGGCTTCTCTGCTGTCCTTGGCCCTGGCAGCTAGAGGAGCAGAGTTAACTCAAATCCATATTTCAGACCATTGGTTGTCCAGGCCCCCGAGAGGTTTTCATATTATACTAAAAGGCAGACAAAAAACATCCAATTTTTCTCCTGGTCCGGTAGAATTGGACTTGGTCCAAGATCTTTCCGAACCAGGCTTATGTTTAGTCAGTTTGTTACAATCGTACCTTCAACTTTCTGCTGTATTTAGAAAAGATATCAATCAATTATTCATTACATCAAGGAATCCCTTTCGTCCAGCCAAGGTTAATACTATTAGAGGCTGGATACTTTCCGCCATGTCTTCGGCTGGAATTGATGTTTCTGTGTTCAAAAGCCATTCAATTAGGGGAGCCTCGGCTACTAAAGCAGCAGGGAAGGGCCTTCCTCTCCCTATTATCTTGAAAGCTGCGAGATGGTTGTCCAGTAAAACCTTTGTTAGATTTTACTGGAGGCCATCAGAAGTTGAACGCCTTCAGTTTCTTAGGACCACCACCAGGTGTGTGCTATTCTACCCACTAGCTTTGCTAGGTGGTTATGCCTCCCGGAGGACAAATCAGAGTTTGCAGGAATCTATGATCTGCAAACTTTCTTTGTCTTAGGGATGAGCATAACCACCTAGCAATAGCGCCCGTCCCACCCTCCTCCAAGTTAAGGGTTTTGCCTGCTGGTGGTAGTTGTTTTTTTTTCTAAAACACAAGGTTATCTGGTGCTTATTCAGCCTTTTGATAACTGTTCTCTGTTTTGTTTTTTTACAGACTATAACAGTACTCCAAGACAAGACCAACAAACCAAGGATCCACCTAAGTAGGAGGATTGGATGCTAGTAGTCTCGTCAGTTTGATATTCTCATGGACTCCCTGCATAAAGAATCTGTTTGCTGGGACTTGTTACAACATTTCTTTTCTCTTTATTGAACTTATATGTTGCAATTTATGATGAAGGGTACCAGTGTTCATTTGATACCTTCCTTTGCTATACATTGTTGCCTTGTTTTTCAGTGCAGCTGTTTTATACAAAGTTTCAAGTCTATCTTGTATGTCTTCATGATTCATTAAACATTTTTCATGTTCCCCTGTACTATGGCCAACTTGAATTGTTTTATTTTGTGTTTAGATGTTTAATTATATCCCTGTACACTGTGGGAAATATTTATCCTTCGTACTTCGTGGGATGTGCTAACCATCCGCAGTTTCCCAATTTTAAAAATCCGAGGTAATCAGGATTTCCGCGCTCAGCACGGCTCTCCTGATCATCTGATTGGCTGAAAGACTGTTGCTGTGCAGATGCACAGCGCGAGCCTTTTCAGCTCTGGCATTTGACTCCGGGAGGCTGCCGCATACCCACTAGCTTTGCTAGGTGGTTATGCTCATCCCTAAGACAAAGAAAGTTTGCAGATCATAGATTCCTGCAAACTCTGATATTAACTCCTCATGCACTGCATAGGGAGGCATATTATTCATGCTTCTAGTTGGTGATCAGTTTTAAGTTTTCATTTAAAGAAGGGATATTGAGAAGAGTGAGCAAATCTTTCTCTCTTCTGGACACCTGATATTAGTCCATATTTAAACTTTCATTACTATACCAATTTTAAAGTCTAATGGCACTATATCTCAAGGGTTCTTGTTCTTGTAAAAGGGTTTACAAGTGCTAGCCCACTTGTTTTGTACATGGAGTGATTTGTCTGCAACACCCACAATATGCAGTCAAGCAGAAATCTTCAGATATATATACTGATGAAGCATTGTGTTTAAATAAATGTCCCAAATCTATAATTTGCAGGGAAAATTGACATTTAAGGTCTATTTTGTAAGCAGATCATGAATAACTCTGAAATGTAAATCCAATAATAGTTTTCAAATTAGAAAGGAAATGCAGTTAGTGAGTACCAAAATTCTAGTTTGATCAAATTGTAGGACTTCCAAGAAAGTTTCTGGGATTGTTGGGCTATTTTTTTTTCTGTATTGACAGTAAGAAACCTACCGGCAAATGTGGCATTTCATTATGTGCCTGACATAACTAAACATCACGTGGATGGGTACTATACTGCCAAGGTACACTATCCAGAGTGCAGAAAGGCTAAATAAAAAGTGACATGCCTTCAGATTTGAAGAAGTCAATTAACAACCATAGGCAATGCTAGTGTGTTTGTGTGTGGGGGACATACGCTGTGGGAGCTTAAGTTTTTTTTCCCATTAGGTTACTGATTCCTAAAGCAGCTTTGTGTAGAGCTTCTTCACACATTTAAGGGAGGATATGTTTGGGAGAAGGACTGTCAAAAGCAAAACAATTGGAAAATAATTTCCCTCTCATCTATATTGTATCGAAAATTGTCAGTTTAACAAATTGCACTATTTAGTTATTCTGAATCTCATTTCTCAATTTCTATGGATGATCCAAATTATCCGGTTATACATACCTTTTTATACCAGGTCAGTAGAGGAGTATCCGCATACAGTTCATCCATTCGGAGAGGGAAATAGTAAATATTTTCAAAAGCCGATAGGGTTGGAAATCTCATTCGTGCCTGTTCCTGATAATCGGTTGAATTTATGTTAGGCAGACCTTTCATGAAAAATGCCACTGGTCTTCGGGAGTATACACGAGCTGCAGACTCAACAGAACATAACACCAATGGTGGTGGATCCATTCTATCAGAGATCTCCAACATTATGACACCATTTCCTTTACCCAGGACATCATTTGGAGTTAAATGTTTTACAGTTTCCAATGATACAACATTTGCCTTACATGTTATATCTTTGAGAAATAATCAAATTTTTGATCCAACGTCTTCTATAATGATGCTTTGTTTCGTAATGATGTGTATACTGATGAAAGAAGCAAAAGCCACAACTAGCAGGTAGATGGCAATCAATTTCTTATTCTTTACCATGATTGTATGATCTGAAAATGCAACTATGGACAATATAAAAAAGGAATAACAAAATTAGTATAATTAACAGATGATTTTAAGTGTGCATGCACTTGAGTTATGTGTGAATTAAGAACATTGGAAAAAAAGATACATAAACAGCAACAAATATGATTTGCCCAAACAAATTTGTATAGGAACAGCTATTTTTACAAATTAATGTTGATTTGATTTAGGAGGAGGGTGGCTAAAGTAAACGTGTATATTTTTATGCAAATGAGTAGCCTGTTTTTCTCTTTTATCTGTCTTGTTTGTGTATGCTTTGTAGTAATTATGTTTGTGTGCATGTCTGTATGTGCATCTATATTCATGTCTTGTAGTAAGTAAATAATTTTTATTTAATTTTTGGGGGCGATTATGTAACTGGATGTTTGTATCACATGTGTGTATATTTACACATTAATATGTTAGCCCCTCCAAATTGTGCATGCTAGAACTGTACCTAGTTGTAACCCTGCATATCTTTAACTGAATAAGATGGATAGAAAGAGTGAGGGAAGCCGATTATGAATGTTTAAAGGCCAATAAATTGAGGATGTAATAATAATGATCAAGTGTGAAATGGTTCAGGGCTATACATAAACAAATTCAGGGATATGTTTGCATAATAAGGAGAGGGGAAAAAAGCTAACAATATTGGGGAAGGAGAGATAATAAATATTAAGCTTGGAAGTCTGGGAATCAAGAGAGGAAACTAATTTGAAAAACAAGGTAGTTGAGGGAGACTTATATCTGGGGAGAAGGAATTGGAGATGTGTCTACTGAGTCTTTGGACACTTTGGATGAGTATATGGTAATGTTTGTGCCTTCAAACCTTATAAAGAATATATATATATATAAAAGAATGCGTATACAAACTTAAAAAGGTGGTCACACTTCCTCTTAGCACAATTGTGAAGTGGAAATAAGATGATTAACAGGTGCTCCAGTAGGTCAATGTCAAAGGAAGAAAAGTGGGTTTCCTGTGAAGAACAACATTATTTTTAAACACTTGACATATCTGGCACTCTTGCTTACACTAACATCTGCATTTTAATATTGTTCATGAAGACTTGGAGCAGAGGGGTCAGGAATCAATGAATCTCTATAAGGAAAGTTCAGCGTCTCCATACAGAGCATGGAGACACTGAACGGCAGTGCTGCATTTTATTTTTAGTGCCATTTTAGTGCCATTTAAATGCAATGGTGTACTTGTGTGTAGTGTTTGAATGCAGGAATGTTTTTGTAGTGTTGGCTTTTAAATGCATGTGTGCTTTTGTGTGTAATGTTAGTGTTTGAATGAAAGGATGTTTGTATATAATGTTAGTGTTTTAATACAGGGGTATGTTTATCTGTAATGTTTGCATATAAATGCAGGGGTGTGTTTGGATGTTATGTTGGCTTTGAAATGCACGTTTGTGTAGTATTGGTGTTTGAGTCATTTGAGTGACACATTAACACACAGATACATATAAACACATACACACAAATTCATATACACACTGACTCACACATATACATACACATATAAACACACCCTGACACACAGTTACACACACACCTTGCCACATTCATGCAAACACAATCCGACATACGTAGACATATACATGTCATAATTTTTATAGTTGCAGCCATTCTCCTGTTAGCCTGCCTTTTGTTTTCAAGGAGGGTTGCTTGCTTGGGATCCTATTGTTTCTGAATGAGGCTGCTCACTTATGCCTCTCTTTCCCCATGCTGCCTTTGCTGCTGCCGCTGCCTCCTTCCTTCCGCACAATCTCTCTGCATGTAGCTATGGGGAAGTGACAGGTTTTCATGTTCTCCCAGCTTGCAGATAATACTTGCTCAGCATCACATATCAGGTGGCCTTAAATGCATAGGCCACTAGATAGGCCTCCAAAGTATTTGGGCCCCAAAGCAGTGCATCAGCTGAACCGGTGGTAGTTCCACCACTAAACCCCATCTCTGTTGTGTGTACCTACACTTTCATTTTTTTTTTATTTATTTTTTTATAATTTCTTTATTTTTCACAGGTTACAGCTTTAAATATTGTTGTACATACGGTAATCATTATAAATAGTGCAAAGACAGTAAATAAAAAAAATTGTTACAAACTACTAGGTCCATAGTTGGAACAAAAGTTAGATGAATACCAAAGCAGAGTATGTATCTTTCAGTTTTTTGGAAACCAAGGTAGGAAAGCCACACCTCTTCATATTTGTCAGAGGACAATCTGTCTCGAAGGAACCCTTTTTCCATTCTGTACTAGAAATTAACTTGGAAACTTCTTTCGTTCCAGCTCAGAGGGCCTATTTTCCTCCAGTTTCTGGCAATTATTAATTTTCTGGTCATAAAGATACGAATCAGATGAGGTTTTGCATTATTATTGCCAAGGGGGAAGCCTATATGGAATAATAGCATGTGTGCTGTTAATTTGACTTCCCTGTTAAAAGTGAGCTTTAGCAATCTAGAGAGAGTCTCTTTTGTTGTGAACAGCTCAATTTAATCTATTTAAAACACTGCCACCACATATGTGAAAATGTACCCAGAGCTTTGCCACAGCGCCAGCAATCAGGAGATACATAAGAATTTATTTGTGAAAGACAAGATGAGAACCATGTATGAGTGGTAAATACATTTGTAATATACCTATAGTATATCGGAGTTGGCCTTGCTAAGGCTTTGCCAATCAAAAAGGATTTAATTCTCAGATAATTGAATACCTTCCTATGGGGGAGATTAAATTTTAATTGTAATAAAGGGAACAGGAAAATTGTCTCTCCATCTGTTAATTCTGAAATAACTGTCAAACCATTATTATACCATTTTTTAATATTTAAGTCTTCCAGATAATATTTTAAACATTATATATGAGCTTGGAGGGACATCTTCTCCATACCAAATCTTTTCTTCAAATATTTAACTGTGGATATCAGAGTTTGAATCATCGGATTATGTGAATTTAAGTTTTTAACAAACGCACTTATATCACAATTTATAAGATTAAATGGCTCTATGTTGTTTAATCCAGCTCTCTCTAGATTTAGCCAGGTTGAGAGGGGAGAAATTATCGGTGCCGGCAAAATGAACCATTGCAATTATTAAATATAATCTTTTTATGTTTGGAAAGGACACCCCACCTTCCTTCTTTGACCTCTGTAATATTTCCAGAGCTATTCTGGGACATCTATCCTGCCATATGTAGTCAGAGAATTGTCTCTGGAGACCTCGTATCATCTGGGAGTCTATCATCAGTGGGATATTCCTGAATAAATACAGAAGTCTAGGTAGTAAATAGAAGTTAATTACTTCAATTTTGCCTAGCCATAAAAGCTCAGTACCTTTAAAGTTTTCCTTAAATTGCATAGCCACTTCAAAGTAATTGAGTCTATTAATTAATGTGAGATCTAAGGATAACCTAACTTTTAGATAATTTATGCACTTCACCTCCCAATCTATCTTGAAATTCTCCTTTAAAAGATCCAGTCCCAATGTCAGAATTTGTGTTTTTTTTATACTAGCTTTATAGCAGTAACTTGCCAAATTCTTTTACTAATGAGAACAGCTTTGACAAAGAGCCCTCAGGGTCCATAAGACTCAGGAGCACAACATCAACGTAGAGTTTGTTTTTTTTATCTCTGATTTATTTATCGTCAGACCTTTAATATCTGTGTTCAGTCTAATAGCTGTTGCGAGATGTTCAGCCATTTGTTTAAATATACACAGTTCAGTACCCTTGATTATTGCAACTCTTTGCAACACCATATTGGGTCTATTAGCTAGTGTATCTCAATTTCAAGTGGGTGTGTAATCTTGGAATTACCATTGAAGTTTTAACAGTTGGTTCTATTTTAAACAAGTATATTTACTTAACTTTTTTGTTTTTCAAGCACATTGTTTTGACACTTTCACAACATTTATTATCTTTTTGTGTGTGATTTCTTTACCCTTATAGGGATTCAATAAAGTTTGTGTTTTTAATCAAGGCACCTAGCCTAATACCTGTTTAGTTAATTCAAACAATGGTAAGAGGATTAGTATTGGTCTTGTTTTTTGCAAGCATAGTCTAATCTTTCTCTGCATCTTCATTTTGGGTTATGCCCTAATTACCCTACAACCAATACAAACTTGGCATCAGATTTCCTCTCTCTAAGTCTGCCTATCTTTATATTTTGAACAGTTTATATATATATATAAAGAGAAATGCTGAACCACAGGCATTTTTAAAGGCGAATGTGCCCGAATGCGTCTGTGCTCCTGCTAATGGTCACTATGGTAATGTGCATGGTAGATGCACATTTTCACAGAAGTGGGAGGCATTGAATGTATGCATAGAGGGGAGACACAATGGTATCTTCACCTGGGTGGTAACTAATCCTATGTCTATTTAATACTATTACTGTATGTTGCATATTTTAGCCATCCTGCAAAGAGATCTCTTAGTAGAACTGAAACGTTGACTTTTATATATTGATGGAATAAAGAAGATAATTTGGTTTCAGGACCCAGAGTGCTGGATTGATTCAGAGCTATTACACAAGTCTTACTCCTTGTACCAGGCAAATAAGGATGATGTGATTTTGGATTGCAAGCCACATTTTGGAAATATATATATATAGTCTAGTAGACAAGATGCCACAATACCAGAGCATTGCAATATCCAATGATACCTTTATTGGACTAACATAAAACTTAAAAGACAAGTTTTCAAGAGTTTTACTTTCTTCCTCAGGTAGTGTTTCAGACATGTAGAAGAGAGGAAAATTCTTAAAAGCTTGTCTTTTAAGTATTATGTTAGTTCGATAAAAATTTAAAAAAGAAGCATTGCATAATGTGACACTCTGGTATTTTGGCATTAGAGTCCTGGCTGATCTTGGAGCTATACATACACTGTATTGTATTGTCCACATTTGGTATATTGCATTCATGTTGCCTATTTGGAACCACACATGCTGTAATACACACTCACTGTTGCATGCAAAGATATGCACTCTGAATCCTATGGGTCAGCCCACGAACTGATACACAGAAGGATAAAAGCACACACAAACACAGTGATGCACACAGATACACAATGGCACCATAGGTGTGCGCAGCCTATTGCATTAGGGTGTGCACCCTAAAGCACAAACACACGCCGTGTGTATGTGTGTGTGTGTGTGTGTATGTATCTATATATCTATAGATACATACACACACATACACTGCTGTGTGTGCTGTTAGTGTGATGTGTGTATGAGGGTGCTGTTAGTGTGATATGAGGGTGTTTGTGTGTGTGTGTGTGTTTGTGACTGTGCTGTTTGTGTGTGAGGGTGTTTGTGTGTGTATGTTTGTCCTGTGAGGGTGCTGTTTGCGTGAGTGTTGTGTATTTGTGAGGGTGTTGTTTGTGTGTGTGTGTGTTTGTGAGGGTGCAGTTAGTGTGCTGTGTGTGAGGGTGTTGTGTTTTTTTTAAAGGTGCTGTGTGTGTTTGTGAGGGTGCGGTTAGTGCTGTATGTGTGTGTGCTGTATGTTTGGAGGGATTTGGCAGATTAGTAAATCCTTGCTGCCATGTGCCATCCCTGGTGGTCCAGTGGAGAGTGAACTCTAGCCTGCAGGGCTAGAGTTAACTCTCGCGAGATCTGAGCGTTGCCGCAGCAACACTCAGATATCGCGAGAGGAACCTGGCGGAGCTTCTGTCTAGAGCTCCCTGGGTCCTCTCCTGCCTCCCTCCATGCTGCTGTGGGCCGGTGAGGTAGATCTTTGGTCTCCCCGCCGGCCCATGGAGGCTTAGAGCAGAGCCGGCACTCAGATAGCGCCGGCTCTGTGTGTGTGTGTGTGTGTGTGTGTGTGTGTATATATATATATATATATATATATTTATATATATATATATATATGCGTACACACACACACTCACAGACACATTCAGACAAACACACATATACATACACTCACAGACACACACATTCACAGACACACACTCACACAGACACACACACAATCACAGACACACACTCACACACACACACACTCACTGACACACTCACACATACATACACTCACAGACACACACACACACATTCACAGACACACACACACTCACACAGACACACACATACACTCACAGACACACACACTCACTGACACACTCACACACACAGACACTCAGACACACACACACACTCACAGACACACACATACACTCACAGACACACACATTCACAGACACACACTCACACTCACTGACACACTCACACACACAGACACACACAAGAACAAATTATTATATTTTAATTTTAAAAAATGTCCACCCAGCCTCCTACCTGGAGTGCTGGCGTGGACTTTTCCCTGGGGTCCAGTGGGGCGGGCACCTTTCTGCAGCTCAGCCGCGGCGAGGGAGCTCTCTGCTGTCTGCACTCTGCTCCCTCTCACCGCGCGGGCTGTCTGCTGTAGCTGGGAGCCAGAATATGACGTCATATTCCGGCTCCCGGCATCAGCGCACGGCGAGAGGAAGCAGAGAGCAGACAGCAGAGAGCTCCCTCGCCGCGGATGAGCTGCCGAGAAGGGGTGCGGATCCATCACCTCTTGCCCTCCCCATGACAGGGGCAAGAGGTGAGACAGGGGGCGCTGAGTGCCTGCAGGAACAGCGTTCCTGCTCAAAAAAAGTGCAGGAACGCTGTTCCTGCAGGACTCAAACCATAGGCGTGCCACGGGGATTAGGTTGTGCCCAGGCACACCCGGCACACCCCGTGCGCACGCCTATGAATGGCACAGACATACTGATAGATGCAGACACTTAGTCGCAGTGTGTGTCTGACAGTGTGTATCTGGTGGACTTGCGCATGGTGTAAAGATTTTGTTTATCCGATTCGCTTAGTTTGAAAAACTACATTTGTTCAGTTTAACCGAATTTTGTCCATGCAATGTCTTAGATAAAAAATTCAAAGACAAAAGATTTAGATGAACCAAGAGGGTGGGAAAATTTTAGTGTATTGCAAAATATATACATTAGACATTTGAACAACAGAAAAATTTGGTTAGTCCGAAAACAAAATTTAGTTCAGGTAGTTTGATAGTCATTCAAGTAGCAGTATAGCTCAGATTACAAGGAACATCATTTCCATTTTTTGGTATACTGAATAGCAATTTCATCTATTTTGTTGTTTTATTTTAAAATGATCATTCAAATAAATTTGGGATTTTACAACACCACTCAAAATAAACTAAAAATATGAGCACAGAAGAAGCCAATAATGTGTAAACAAATAGAAATGTAGGGCTGTATAAACTGTATGATTCGTAGATAAATGTAGAAACAGCTTCTTACCTATTTAAGCACCATTTAAAATGTAAGTGCTTTTGAGCTGGGTCCTCACCACCTTCTGTTCCTTTCTGTTCCACCTTCTTGTTTTGTTGCAACTATTTGTTTGTTAGTCCACCTGTTGTACAGTGTTGTAAAATTTGATAGCACAATACAAAAAAAAATAATATATATAAAAAATGCTTCAGATTGAGAAAGGGAGGTTCTCCCGAAAGCTTGTCATTAAAAAATCCTGTTAGTCCAATAAAAAAGGTATTGCAAGATACAAATTGTATCTGGGTTTTTTCAACTCTATATATATATACTATAGTAATAAAAATTATAAAAATCACACCATGCTTTGTATTAGCATATCCAGCAGAGGCATAACGCAAATAAGTAGCACAGGTTAGCAAAAAGACTTTTAGCCTTTGTTGGCTCACGTTTAACTATGAAAAACAAGAAAGATAGTCTTTCTAGGAGCAGAAACAGGTTTGTCCAAAGAATGTGTGCCTGGGTCCAAGGACAAAAGGATGCCTTGCCCATTAAAACCCCACCTATGATTGATTTGCAAAATATATACATTAGACATGTGCACAACAGAAACATTTGGTTGGGCCAAAAACAAAATTTAGTATAGGCAGTCTGGCAGTCATACATGTAGCAGTATGGCTCAAATTACTAGGAACATTATTTTATAGTTTCGGTATACTGAATTGGCAATTTAATCAATTTAAAATTGAATGTTAATAACTAAATATATTAACACAGAATAAGACAATATTGTTTAGAACTATTAAAATTCAGGGATGTATAAACTTTATGCTCCACATATAAATGTAGAAACAGATACTTACCTATTTAAGCATCATATAGAATGTAAGTTCTTCTGAGCTGGGTTCTCACCACCTGCTTTTCCTGTACGTCCACCTTGTCTTGTCGCAATTATTTGTTTGGTAGTCCACCTACTGTACAGTGTTGTAGAATTTGTTAGCACATTACAAATAAAACTATCTATTTATACTAATATGTAATAGAAATATAAAAATCATGCCATGCTTTGCATCAGCATATCCAGCAGGTGCATAAAGCAAATAAGTATCACAGGTTACCAAAAAGACTTCTAGCCTTTGTTGGCTCAAATATAACCATGAAAAACAAGACAGATAGGCTTTCTAGGAGACATAAACCGGTTTGTCCAAAGACAGTTTATCCCTGGGTCAAATGACAAAGGGATGCCTGTCACGTATTCATCCGCTTATAGAAATGTGGTTAATGACATTTACTGTCCACACAGGAAAAGTTGTGCTGAGCAGCAACCTAATCCACAGAAGGTTTAATGCTGAGCAGTAATTGTGCAAATGAAACCTGGTGTCATGTATTCATCCGCTTATAGAAAAGTGGTTAATGACATTTACTGTCCACACAGGAAAAGTTGTGCCGAGCAGCAACCTAATCCACAGAAGGGTTAATGCTGAGCAGCAATTATGCAAATGAAACCTGGTAACTGACTTTGGGGTCAAAGGCCGGTTACAGCCTATCAGAACTAAAGGAGGGGTATTTAGGCCCAGTTCTCAGCCTGCTCAGTGCCCTGTCGTGGTTTCCCTTGTGGTTGTCCGAGAGCGCGTTCCTGTTTATAGTTTTCTACCTGGTTTTTGACTTTGGCTTTGTTTATTGACTTCTCTATATTCTGGTATCCTGACTCCTGGCTTTCCTCATCGCTGTGTCCCTTTCTGTGTTCCCTGACCTCGGCTAGTATTTTTGACTATTCTTTGTACGTTAAATCCGGCCATTCTAAGGACCGGTAATACGTTACTTATTTGTCATCCGTGCTGTACAGTTCTACGTGCTGGATCAAACAGTAATCCTGACATTACGACATGGCCATAGATCCTGTAGAACTGTGTCAGCACATAGCTGCTTGCGAGAGGAAATTAGAGGAGAATGATCACCGCATGGATCAATTTGCTCAGGCTTTAAGTACGCTTCTCGCTAGAACGGAGCATCTGCAGCCTGCAGCGTTTCCTCCTATAGCACCTCTACCCTGTGTACCTCCACCCACTGTTAATAGGACTCCTAGCATCTCCTTATCACCATCCCTACAGTTTGATGGCAATATCCAGGAATGCAGGGGTTTTCTTAATCAGGTGGAGTACCATTTTGAGGCCTCACCAGGGTCATTCCCCATGGACAGAGCAAGAATTGGTTATCTAATGAATCAATTAAAGGGCAAGGCCCTTGCCTGGGCTAATCCGTTGTGGGAGAGTAATCGGAGCATAGCTCATAATTACCAGGAATTCCTTGCCGAATTCAAGCTCACGTTTGAGCCATTGGGTAGAGAGGATGACGCCTCCACTGCCCTAATGCACATCAGACAAGGTAACCGGTCTATCTCGGATTATCCTATTGAATTCCGTACCTTAGCTTCCGAGGTAGACTGGACTAACAATGGGTTAATCTCAGCATTCAAAAAGGGTCTCTCAGAGACTATACTAGATGAGATAGCCGCTAAAGAATTACCTAAGAGTCTTAACGAATTTATTATGTTTGTCATGAATATTGATAATAGGTTAAGACTCAGAGAAGTTACCAGAAGCAAGACCAGACGTACGGCTATGTCCCTAGCACCTCAATTATCTAAACCTCTTTTGTCTAACCTCCCTGTACAGTCCGAACCCGAACCTATGCAGTTGGGGGTCACTAGACTGTCAGAGGCCGAAAAACAGTATAGGAGAAGGGAGGGGTTATGCCTATATTGCGGTAGAAAGGGACATATGATAACTAATTGTCCAGTGCGTCCGGAAAACTTCCGCACCTAAGAACCTTAAGGGGACAGATCTTAGGTGTGATGGAGTTGTCCTCTAACAAAAACAAAAGTAGATTCCTCCTTGAGGTATCTATTTCCATTGATAACAAGAAGTTTTCTTGCAGTGCCCTAATGGACTCAGGTGCTGCTGGAAATTTTATTGATATCCAGTTTATTAGGGGTAATGAGATACCGGTCAGGGAGAGACCTACGCCGCTAGCTGTAGAGGCTATTGATGGTAGACCACTCACACAACCGCTTATAACCCACGAAACTGTCCCTATTACGATCTCCATTGGGGCCTCCCATAGGGAGGAGATGACGTTTCAGGTTATTACTTCTCCATCATGTCCTATCATATTAGGGTTTCCGTGGCTGAGTAAGCACAATCCCTATATTGACTGGGCTAATGGGGAGATATTAGAATGGGGTAAAGAGTGTATGGGGAGATGTATAAAACCAGTACTAAAGATATTGGATACTAATGACCTTCCCACTACCACTCCCCAAACTCCTGGAGTTCCCATACAATACAGAGAACTTCAGGAGATGTTTAACAAGGCTCAATCCAATGTATTGCCTCCCCACAGAGCATATTACTGTGCCATTAACCTGTTTCCAGGCGCTATGCCACCTAAGGGGGCAGTTTATGCCTTATCTCCCCAGGAGAGTAAAATCATGGAGGAATACATCAAAGAATCCTTGAGCAAAGGGCACATAAGAAAGCCATCCTCACCAGCTGGTGCAGGATTCTTTTTTGTTGAGAAAAAGGGTGGTGAGTTACGCCCTTGCATAGACTACAGGGCACTTAAT